TTTTTTTTGTTCCTGTGGCTGCTTCTGTGTGTGGTCTCATGACGAGAGAGATTTTGAGCGTGAGAATGAACCGTTAACTCACCATTGAATCTCTTTGGGGGCATGTTTAGCACAGAATGTCAGCCAACGGGGTTTCAGCGTAGGTGCACGAAGAGAACGACACGCTGAGCAACAGTTGGGTAATTCAATTTATCCCTTTTATCATCTGCATCTTGCCACTAACTTTCCCAGAGCAGATATGTGAACACAAAGCCTTGTGACTTCAGAGCAGACATGCAAACAGCTTTCCGTGCCTGAATGTAGGGTCACTGTGCCCTCTACTGGATAAGCAGCGACAGGACAGAGCCAGAAGGGTTAAATGAAAATGAAATGTGTCCTTACTTGAATTTTATTTTACTTGGATGAGTCAGACCCTTAGAGTAAATTTATGAGATCTTCTTAAACACAATGCATGTTTATGTTTTGCTGATGAGAAGCAGGGGAAGTCTTCAGATTTTCCTTTTGATATCTGACTCTGATTTGGAGCTGTTAGTGTTCAGGTTTATGAAGTCTTATCTGATTAGCCTGAGGACACTGGCTGTAGAAACGTTGCATAAATTCACAGTTGTGTCTGACACTTTTGATTCATTCACAGCCAACCGACAGTTGGTGTGTCCTATAAAGCAATATTGATTTAATAAAACTAAGGCACAACTGATGTCATTGTCTGCTCATAAAGGTGGGGGGATCATTGAGTCACGCAGGAATGTCAGGATAAACCTGTCTTCTCACCTTTTCCTGTTAAAACAAGCTCAACACTTGCTTTGTGTGTCAGTACTAAGTAATCAGCACTTTCTCCCTGCTGTGCCTTTGCTTTGTTATGCGTTTGTGTGCAGTATCTCCCATCAGTCATTAATCACAATTACAAGTCAGCTTACAGCCAGAGACGTTTAGTCTGGCAGTAAGGCGATCAAAGCTGTGAATCCACCTTTCTGAGTATCAGCTCAGATTTACCTGTATCGCACTACTATTTATATTATATTTTGCCTGGAAAATATTAAATACATGCAGCGATTTATTGAAACATGTGCAAACATACTTTGAAATACATTAGGCACATCCTGAACTGTTGAAATTCTCCAACACCACTATTTAAAATGTAGCTCCAAGAACCAAGGACATCCCCTTAACAAAGTTTTTGCATTCAAAGTTGGCTGTCCATGGTGCCTACTCCGCAGGGTGATAATACTTCATCACCCTTTGCTGTATAAAAGAAACTACACTACAAAAATGTCTCACCCATTGGAAGCCAAATCTAGTCAAGTCAGGCCCAGTCAAGTAGATGTACAGCATTATAACTAGAGGTGTTAACCTGGGCTAAAAGAACATGTGGAAGTATCATATCATGCTATGTTACAACAGGTACAGATTTACCAATAACTGTTCTAATAGATTTTATTTTAATGTTCAAGGTTTTGGAGATGCACTTTTTGATCTGCGTTACCACTGCTTGAATCAGCTGAACAAATCAGATCTGACAATTGAGGTCAGGAACCTTCTGGAAGCAGGCCTTTATATAACCAGTCTTGCAGGCAGTGGAAATGCTGACACTATGTGGCCATTTCAGATACTGCAGGTCATTTTCCAGCTTCTTTCCAACTACTAAAGTCATCCTCTTAGTAGTTGGAAATTAACTACCAAACCCTTGGGGGTTTTTTTAAGTGGAAAAAAAAAATTACACAAGTCTTTGGCACTGCTGCGCCTTCAAGTATGAAAGGACAGCCAGAAACAAGTATTATGTGAAATAACTTTATTGAGTCCATAAACATGACAAAAAACACAAGGAAAAAAAAATAATCCCACCTGAACGATTCTTCACTTCTTCCCACATAAATCTTTAACATCTGAAAGAAAACACCGACGTGTGAACATCTCATATGTACAGTATATACAGCATGTACAGTGTCCATGTGCTCTGCCCCGTGAGTGCGGGTTTAGGTATGTTTGCGTGCACTCGAGGATTGGCCTGATCTGACTGGGATCCACTGGCCGTAGGGCTTCCTGCGCTCCACGCTGTCCACTCGGGGAGTTACCCTTGCTGTAGGAGGAGCTGTCGCTGTTGGCTTAGCAACAGAGTTCTGAAAACAAACAAATTTTTTTTATTATCACGAGTGATTCAGAGCAGTGTGAAACAAAGGAAAACTCACTTTAGTTTAGGTCACTTACGTTAATGCTGAAAGCTATTTTTCCTTTCTGGGACAACCTCTGGCTGCAGACGTCATCAGGCTCCTCCTCTGTGCCCTGTTGAAAAACAAGGACAACAAGTAGTTACTCACAAGCCCCAAACTGGAGGCAGAGTGAGCTTTGACAGTTTGTGAAGGTGATATTAGATTAACTGCTTCTAACACAGTTAAGCTTTTCTACTGCGTAGGTAGGTATATCTTCAACAAACTACAGCTCTCATGCAACCCCCAAACACTTAATCCAAGCTTCAAGGTAAGACCTTGAAACAGAATCTAAAAACAAATTATTAAAAAAAAAACCCTAATAAAAAGAAATATATAAGGCTTCTCTGTCTACAGTTGCAGAATGGTGGTCACGCAGTTTTCCCAGCCCCTTAGCACACCAACCAGGCCATGTGTACCAACTTATCTTTGGTATATGGAGAGGAGTTCTTCATCTGTTTTTAGCTCTATAATGCAGTCCACACACGTGCGCTCCATCAGCGAGTGGAGGGCTCTGCTAAATAAACAACCCACTTAAACTGCAAGCATAAATACATTTGTAATATAAAATTTTTTACTTCCTTTCTACAAGGTGAATCAGTAATAACACATCTGAGTTGGCTGCATCTATGTGTGCAATTAGCAAGTATCTAAAATGTGAGATGTGACTTATACATTTGCATTTATTTGGCCTCTAGTGGAGAAAATGCAGATTGTGAAGATTACAAGTACATTTTGTTATCACCCAAGTCACATGACAGCCCTTTAATCCCAGGTGCCGATGAGTGAAGGAGACCACTGTCATGTCATCTATGAAGACAGGAATAAATAAAGAGCATATGTTCCCCTCAAGGTCCAAAAGGTTAAACAAGACAGGAAAGTCAACAACACAGACCACAATATAGTCACAGCTATAAAGTCTGAGTGCTGAATCATTTAAAAACAATGCATTAACCTCTACCTTGTGATTAAAAGTTAAAGGAGAGCACTGCTGTGCACAGGAGATATTTCTAAGCTTCTTCATATCCCTCGTCTTTATATGGAAAGAAAATGCAAATCTAAGTCTTTAGAGTATTAAAAGCTTCGCCTTCAGTGAATGGCAGGTTTCCTGCCACACTCACCTGTGCTGCGGTCTTTTCGGGGCAGTGTCTCACCCTTTTCTCTGGCTCACGCTCTGGTTCTGACAGGATTGGTTTCACACTCTCAGGAAGTTCCATTTTCTCCACTCCCAGAATCTTCATGGCGTTTGCCTTTGCAGCTTCGAGGAGTTCCCTTTTATCTGCTCGACACAAACCAAATGAGGACATTTAATACGAGCATCATTACTACTTGCTGACAATTTCTACTGACATCAACTAAAGCTTACCACACAGACTGAGGCTGACAGAACGTCCAACGGATCGGGATCGGCTCCTGGATGGGGATTGTGAAAATCTGCATCGATACTGGCTTACGCGGCCCCTGGACCTGCGGGAGGATGACCTGGATCGGGAAATTGAGCGGGACCTGGAGGGAGACCTGTACCGTCTGCGATGCGAGCATCTGAATGAGCGAGTGTGGGCCCTGTAACAGCGGGGTGGGGAATGACTAGAACGACCTCTGTTGCGTCTGCTGTGGTCGTCACATCGACAGCGAGAGGAGCGTCTGTGGCAGCGGGGGTAGGAGCGTGACCTGGAGCGAGAGGACCTGCTCCTGGGAGAAGATGATGAGGACGATGAAGATGATCTGTAATAGCGTCTGGGTCTGTCACGCCCTCTGTGAGAGCCTGAGGAGTGGCTGCTGTCATAGCTGCTCCTGGACACAGAGCGGGATATGGAGTAGGATCGGGATGACCTGGGGCTTTTCTGGTCAAAGATCACATTGAGGCCATCGCTCTGGCGAGCACGGGCCATTTCGGAATGAGAGCCTGTTCCCTTGGCCATTGTCTGGTCTTCTGCCAAAGCCTGGAAAGAGAAAAGAAAACCTGCATAAAACGACGAGAACACTAAAATTACTGAGCTTTTTGTTTTTTTCCTCTCTCTCTCCCCTGGTGCAAGTCCCTACTACTAGATTTACTAGCCCTGCGCAAATTCCCCTGAACTTAACACCTACCACCCCGCTTTCACAGGCCTTCAGCTCCATTGTTCTCCTGCTTTTTTTGTGCAAACACACCCTCCCCCAGCCCCCAACCAGGAGAGATTCAGGTCTTTCCTTACCTGCAACCTACAATACACCATGGTAGTTTCTATGTGCAATATTTCTCATGCATGCCTGTCCATAAAACATACATACACACAAAGTACATATATTTATATAGCCACACCTTACATAACATGCATAAAGTCTAGTTATACACACACACACACACACAATATGTGTGTATACACGCACACCAATATTTTTCAATACACGTGTCCATATTTATGTTTCCAGACGTTTGTATAGTACACTTTCTATACTGTGCTCTTTGTACAGTTTTTATGTTTGCTGCTTTTGTCTTGCACTGTCCACTTTACTGCAATAACAATGCAGATTTTCCCACTTGTGGGACTAATAAATGTTGATTTGCTGCGCGTGGGCAACATTGGCATTTGTTTACTCAGATCCAAGGCCAAACCTCTGTGTTACAACCTTCAGAAATTCCTGCCAAATCGACACAAGAGACAGACATTCACAATATATGGGTACACAAGTCTGTTTTGTTTCAGTGTTTCAAACTTTACAGCGTTTGCAGACCCAGTGTCCATCATCCCTGCATTTGTCACAGGTGAATTTCTGACATGTTGCACAGGTAAACTTGCTGCGATTCCTGTTGCAGCTCTCTTGCACCTGGCACTGCGTTGTCTTTACAGTCCCTGGCATAGCAGCTGCAGCAGCTTGCCTCTGTGTTAATATTTCCTTGTGCTGTATGAATCGCAACGAAGTTCCTGAGCTAGAAGACTCAGAAACAATCTTCTTTTGCCTGTCCACCCTGTACATGCCTTGTACAAAATGTAGGCATTCACCGCCGCCAGGTCCAGCATATTGTAGAAAACCACTACTGGCCACCTGCGTGTTGCTGCTCTTACGGAATACATCCGCGCAAGTTGAGGAGGTTCACGCCGGATTTTATTCACTGTGCCCCGTAACGTCGTTTGTCTGTGCGACAGTGAAGTAAAGAAATTGTCCATTGTGACATTTCTCCTATCATCCAAAAACGGCTCCATCAGTTTCATGACCACGTTCTCTGCCAGCCTCTCTCCCTTCTGATCACTGGGGTCCTTTCCCAAGTAAGGAGATTGCACTGCAGACATATTCCCCTTCCGTGGAGGCATGTTGGTTTCTTGTTCCGTCTCCTTTTCAGATTCTTCTGAGGAGGTATCAGTGGCCTGCTGGACAAATGAAACCTCTCCTCCATCAGAATCTGCTTCGTCCATTTCCTGAAGCAAGGCCAAAGCTTGTTGCGTGGAGAGGTTCTTCCTGCTGGCAGTGATACGGAGGCCATCCTGATGTGTGTGTGAGATTCTCCCACCTGGTTGGTCTGCTTTTATGCACAGCACTGTGCTGTAGTAATGCAATGCCAGTCCTACACATACACAGTCACAATGGAATAATGGAAGATCTGTGCTGAGAGTCAAGGAAGGTGTGAATGTGTGCCTTTCATAATTGCAGGTCAGTCATTGTGTGGTTAAAAGTTAAAGGAGTTAAAGTTGAAGTTAAAGTTGTATAGATACCGCAGACATTTGTGAAGGTTGTAACACAGAGGTTTGGCCTGCCTTGGATCTGAGCTACTCTGAGTTAGGGGTGGGCAATAGAAACGATATACGATAGAAACGATATAAATTTGGCCAAAAATAGAGATTTTGACTACACCGCTCTATCGCATGTTGATGATGTCATCAAGCTGCGCCTGTTTTGGTCGAAAGCATTCCAGTGGTCAGCACGCCTCAGTAATTTTAAATACTTTACTGGAACTAAGTCTTTTTAATGTGGCATTACCACCACTTTCTCAATGATGCCCCTAGAGAGCAAAACGCGACTGCATAACTGGCAAGTCTGACTGCAGACCACTGGTAATATCACATTTCAAGGCAAGCTAAAACTAAAAACTGCTCCCTAAACATTAAACAGCTTATAAAATGTCTATTAAAAGACAGCATAACCGTTGCATAACCACTTTCAGTGCTGCCCCTAGTGAGCAAAGCAGTGTTGTGTAACCTCACCGGCTAAACCGGCTTGAACTGGAAAGTTCCGGGTTGACGTAACCCTGAGCAGCAGTTAAAATACAACTTTTAAAGGTTATCGTTGAGCAACATTCGCAAATAATAATTTATCCACGTCACTCAATCTGCATTAGTCACAACCTTTTGTTTTTTGTTTTTTTTATCTGAAACCGTTTCGTGTAACACTAACTTAGAAATAAAATAAAGCCAACGGCGTTGTCTTACCAGTTCGACTGTAACTAGAAGGTCTTCTTTCTGTTGAAGTCGATTCAAAGGGCAAACGCTGTGGCAAATTGTTGCCCCCCAGAAGTATATCAAAAGACGAAAAACTGAGAGAGGAGCTCAAAATGCTCGAATTTGTTGGTTTGTAGCCAATTAGCTAAGAAAAAAGCGATCGTAGCGTCTTCCTCGCAGTTTACTCTTCCACCGTCGTCACTCTAATGTAGGCGGGAAGAGACCGCAGCGGGCTTTAAACCTGCTTCTGGAAATTTCCATTCACGTGACGTTCGCGACGATTGGATTATTTTGAATGACTCGCGGGCTTAACGACTCTTTTTTTTAGGAACGAAATAAGTTGAGTTATCTTCCCTTTAGCGGCTTCTGCTTTTTTAAATCTCCGCAATATTCATTCTTCCTTTAATCGTTGTTTATAAATCGTGCCATATTTGTGTTTCTACAATCAGTATAGGTTAAAAACAAGGTTAAAGAAACCGATTCAGCGGGTAACTGATACAGTTGGTGAAAATAATCAAATCGTTCAGGGCGACCGATAAACCTACAGAGAAAAAGCCGCATTGAGGGTATTTGTGTTTTGAAGGCCTCAGTGCTGCAGAAAAAGCTGCACACACAGTTCTGAGATGCAGTAAAAGCTATTATTTAAGTATTATTTATAGAGAAGTTTAATCCTGATACCGAGCAAAGATTAGAATGGATGTATTCAGTGTATTATGTGCAGGAAAGAGTTTACAAATGAATTCGGCAATGATTATGATTTCATTATATTGCATTTAAACAAAAGCTCTGCAGCAAATAGCAGAGCATGATGCGGTAGGTGAAGGGAGGGGGCAGTTTGGAGTTTCTAGAAAATTCACATAGACCTGAAAGATTACATTATATCTGCAGCATTATCATTGATAAAGGGATAAAAGATGCATCACAGCATCAGCAGGTTATTGCTGTATTACAAGTCTGAGTAGTGAGTAAACATAGACTAGACATCAGTGTGATTCTCCATATCATTTCATTGATACTCAACATAAACAGCCATTAAGGTCAGATGGATTACATAATACTTAAAATTTAATTGCACTTATTATACAAGAAGAAAACGGAGTCCGTGAAGTGCAGAGGAATTATTTTGATATTACAAATTTACGACTTGTTCTAACCCAGTTCTTACTTAGCATCATCCATTTTGTTGGCCTAAAAAGAGTTACAATGATTTGCATTAACCTATCCTTTCAAATAATGTTATATATTGTTATAGGTCTTTTGGTATTGGTTTACTTTGATAGCTGCTTGTTTCAGTCAAGGTTTCTTTTAGGATAAGGGATGGAAAATCCTTTAAACATGTAGGGGGGCCAAGCTTCAGCTGCTATAACTCAATCAAATGTGTCTTTGTTCTTGTTGAGTAGTTGTTGAGTTGAGTAACTGATACTTTGTCATGTTTCTCATGTCTCCCTATCAGCGTCATTATCCCTCCTCACTATTGTCCGTGTTTTATTTTGCTAATGAATCTCTCTTCGGTTATTCATTCATTCATAAAACAAAATTCCAAAAAAGGCCTTGAAACTAATTATCCAAACTTTGTCCTACATAAAAGAGAAATCTTATTTTAAATAAAAAATGACAAATTTCCACATTAAATAGTATAAACCCAATAAGTTTAATGGTTTTTAGTGGAATAATAATTGTTTGTTTTTGTTGGTTTTTTTAAATTGTATTTTAATGGTTTATCTTTGGCTTTTTGTACTTTGCCGTTGCATGTCAGGCCATGACTGAAGTCTTTCTCAGCAGGAAGGCTGTTAAAGTGACAAAATACAATTAAAAATCTGCTTACATTTTCTAAGGCCATCCAGCGAAACTGAATTTCAGATATTATCAGTCAGCTGAATGGGAGTTATCATTGCGTCTTCAACCAGAATGGGTCTTCAACACCTTCTAGACTCTAGAAGGTGATGATGACCCATTCTGAAATCTTAATGAAGGATTCTTTCATATATTCTCCTTCCATGAACGGCTTCCCATAACCTGACTATTTGCTAAATGGCCATAAAACTTGCAAATGGCCAGAGTCTCCCACCCCATGCAAGAGACTCTGACAGCACTGAGCAGCTCCTTCAGTGGGAGACTGTGGCACCCACGGTGTGGGACGGAGAGATTTCGCAGGTCTTTCCTCCCCACTGCTGTCAGACTCCACAACAAAGACTTTTGCAGCTGATCAAACCCTCACACGTGCAATAAGACTGCTATATGTGCAATTCTATATGCTATATGTGCAATTATTGTACAATTCTTCTTCTGACAAAGTTGTACTTTTGTATTTTCTTACTCAGTTGTATATAGCATTTGTATTTCTATTTTATTCTATTGTATATATTATTCTATTCTATTTTATTCTATTGTATATAGTATTTTATTTTATTGCATTCCAGTGTTTTCTAATTTCTGCTACATAACTTTGCACTTTTGCTGTAACAAAACCCCTCCCCTTTCTGGGGGAGCCAGAAAGACGTACAACGTGAAAGTAAGTGAAAAACGAACACTGCACGCGCTGAAGTGATTTTTATTTGCATCTCGGGCTTATTTCACGCATGCTTGCT